TGTTAAAAAAGAGAGAGAGAAAGGGGGCCCGGCAAAGATGTTTGCCCCAGGGCCTGTGCTGGCTCTCGACATTCCTGGATGTAGTGTGTATGTAAGTATTTATGCATATAACCAAAACATCTGCGCCAGCTATTGAATGGCACCACAAACAAAAGTCCATAAAAAATTTCACACTTTGGGTACTCAAAATTCAGACAATTTAGAAAAATAATTGTGGTATATGCAACAATGATTTCTTTACAATAGAACACAATTCTAAATAAAAGTACTCTCCTCACAACTTTCACTAGGACTGTACGTGAGGGTTTGATTATATCTTTATTGAGGTAATTTTTAAATGTGGTACTGATAAACTGGAGTTCTTAAAAAACTCTTTATTTTTTCAATAAATGTTACCACTTTTAATATATAAAAACATTACAGTTTAATACTATGATTAGTTATTACTATCACAAGTTTTGATACTTTCATTGGACTAAAGAAGACACATGAATATGTCAAAACTTGTCCACATAAATTTGTTGTTGTTGTTCATTAAGAGTGGAATGGGCAGCGTTTATGCTAGTTGTAATAATGTACATAATCAACCCCCAAAAAAATGCTGATTGGTACTCTTACTGTCAATTATATAATGCTAGCTTATACTTAGTAATTTGAATGAGCACTCTTTTCTTTCAAATAGCATTTCATTGGCCCTTCCCAAAATTATTAACCAAATCTGACTGTAAAATTAACCATGTATATCCAAGCATACAGCAACAAGATATGGGTAAGAGGCTTAAAAAAAACAACAGAAAACTTGGAATACTGAGTACAACAAAAGCATAATTAAACTCAAACTGGAACTATAAAATTAAGATAAGAACTTGATGACTGAAATAACCATGTACATGATAAAACAGAAATAACTGAATCATCACTTTAAAACGGATAGGAACAAGTTCCTTGCCTCATCAATCTGTGTAGATGTTTGTCTTAGAGCTGCTTTAGTGGCTGCTTCTCGCCTTGCTTGCTCTAGCAACTGCCGAGCACGTTCTTTCAGTTCTTCTTGCCTTGATTGCTGACGCTGGACAAACAAAAATAAAGAATTCTAGAAACGTCATGCAAGTGAAACAGAAAATGATAATACTTAGATTCACTAAGAAAGTAAAATAAAGGTAACGGTTCTACAATCATTATATAAATAAAACAAAAAGTAATATTTTCAAATCCATCATGCAAGTAAAACAAAAAGTAAAGATTCAAAGTCAACTGTGAAAGTACATCAGGATAAAGTAACAATTTAAAATTATGAAAGTGTATTTCAGATAACAGCACAACAAAATACTATTACCTTGCATGGCTGCTATGAAGATTTTTACATAAGCCACAAGCCTTGAATGAGGCTCCTGCCCCTGAACGTACTAACATGTATAGCACAAGCTTATCATGTAATCATCATTAGAATACAGCCCTCTACTAAAAAAGAGGGAAACACATTTTCTATGTGCATTCTACATCTGAAATACATTTTCAGGTAAGTAAAATGTGCACTTCAGAAATGTTTACTTACCTCTGCACAACAAACGAGCTAGAATCCCACATCAAGAAGATGGGTTAGGGGTCAGTGCTTGAGTTTGTAGTGTGGTTAGGGCAAAAAGTCGAGCTGTTCCATATCGAAGAAATGTGTTCGATATTTACCAGAATAGTTAGGCGAAGGGAGTAAATACCCCAGACTTGCACCCTGAGGAGAACACATGACCGGGAATGGCTTGGTTCAAAGTGTAGTGAGGTGGCTTGTACTACACTTTTAGGTAACATTGTCTTTAGTATATATACATACTTCAATATATAATAATGACATTGAGAGAGCTGTAAAAAACGAACCTATAACAAAATAATAAATCCCCACATTGCTAGTCTATGGGAAGACTGGAGAATGGCAACTGGAGTTAGACAAAACACATGAAAGATGAAACCACAACATGGAAGTACTGTGTTAGAGGTCATCACTTCCTCATCTGAAAGATCAAATACATGGGTTGTCAATAGCTAGAGTGAAATGAAGCCATGACATGACAAACTTTATGGAAGGAGGCATGAAAAATAAGAAAAGTTTCATTGCTCAACTGGTCAAAGTGGAAGAAGTTAAGTTATTAGGAGAAAAGGAATCCCACGCAAAGAAAAGATGCTGTTAACTGTCCTGAAAGTACAAGAGAGATTAACAACAAATAGCCTGTATAGGACAAAAGAAATGATCTGGGTCAAAATTATTGTAAAGGGAAGAGATGGATGGAAAACTGAGTGTATAAAACATACAATCACCATTTTAAGCAGTTCTGAGAAGGAAGGAGCAGTCAGGGAAGAAGATTAACTTGTCCCTGCAGTAAATAGTGTGGGAGGCTCCAAGACAAAAAAGTGTGAGCAGTGGCTTCTGCAAGCAAGAAGAAAACGAAAATATCTTTGAAGTATAAAAGAGAACACTGAAACCACTCTAGACACAGAACTTCTCTGTCAGAACTATGGAGACTGCAATTGGAGACCAAAAGATTGGTAACTAGGTATTGAGGAAAGTCAGAAAGGCAACAATGATAAGACACCCAAAGTGGAAGCGAATCTACTAAAACACCATAGAATAGAGAAACCAATCTGCAGGAAGGATCCAGTCTCGGTAAGATAGTCGATCCATCACCAGAAACTAAGCTTCCATGACATGATAGACTGCCAAATGTAGTGGTCATGGGCTCAAAAGAGAAAGATAGCAGCAAGGAAAACAAAGGTTCTGAGAGCAAGTGCTTCCCTGATGGTGGATGGAAGAAACAAAAGTGGTGTCTAAATGGATCATGATAAGAAGACCCGAGAGACAAAGCAGAAAATGATGATGATCCTGCTGAGCAGTCAACATCTCGAGGTCATAGATGTAGAGAAACTGTTCCTTTAAAGACCAAACTCCAGAATTGCACTCGACCTGAGCAGAGACATTGGTTAACAAGTTTTGTTTGTAGATTTGATTGTCATCAAGCAAAAACTACACAATGTGCCACATATTATATGTTCATCACGGGTATGAAAATCTGCATATGTGAGCATTATAAATCCTCAGACTCACTGCTGGGCCCTGGGAGCTCCAAACAGATACCAGTGTATATGAGATGGGAGAATTGGTATGTCCAGGGTCATATGTGGTTGAGTGTGCTACCACAATAGCAAGTGAGAAGAAAAAGTGGGTCTTTGGATATACTTGCAGTGATTGGCCAAAATCCACTGAAAGGGATGTGTATGGGTAAGTCCAAGAGGTACAAGGGACTCCAGAAAATGAAATTCTCCAAAAGAGACAAATCTTCTGATGCAGGAAATTAAGGAGACATAAGAGCCTTGGTATCAGAAGTTCTATAAATAGAAAAAATTAACATTTTAATGGAAAGTAGGGATCATTGGTTATTTGTAGAATTGCTATAAGAAGTATCCAAAACAAAATAAATGCCAAAATAAAAAAGTACAAAAACAAGGAAAAAGTGATACTAGTTGGATGTAATTTAAAATGATTTTCCATCCTAATTTGGTTGGCAAACTTAAGACTGCTTCATTTAGCTATATGGATCACAATGGCCTACAGATAAGTGTATAAAGCTTCAAAAGTAGGGATTAAATTTTATAAATTTGTGATTGTGGTTTTAATTCATGTAAAAGTCATAGCTATGAGGGATATAGCTATACTGAAAGTTTATAGATGTTGTGTCCATTCCACGAACACATAAAAAATTGAACATATAAATAGGAAAAATAAAATAAAAGTTTAATGGAAAGTAGGGATTATTGGTTATCCCTAGAATTACTATAAGAAGTATCCAAATAAAATAACTGTGGTTTTAATTCTTGTTTCGTTACCTTTTGTAGCAGGATCCCTACTTCATTTTTAAATTAATAATTTTTTAATACTCTTGTTTGCTTACTTTTTATGTTATACCTGTATAAAGTATATACTTGACATTTAGAAACTGTTGTATGTCTATCCATCGATATGTAATGCCATCCATTGGGTTGAAAAGATATTTAAGTATGTGCATGACATCTTCTTCTTCTGTAGCTTTTTCCCGTATCTTTACGGGGTCGCTATTTTTTTTGGTGTTGGCAGGGTTTTTACGGCCGGATGCCCTTCCTGATGCCAACCATCCCCTAATTTAGCAGTGTACGACTAGAGGGAAGGCAGCTAATCATCACCACCCATTGCCAACTCTTGGGCTACTCTTTCACCAACGAATAGTGGGATTGACCGTCACATTATAATGCCCCCACGGCTAAAAGGGCGAGCATGTTTGGTGGGACGGGGGGTGCGAACCCGCGACCCGCAGATTGCGAGGCGAGCGTCCTACCCACCTGGCCATGCCGGGCCTAGTATGTGCATGACATGTTTACCATTAATAAAAAAAATCTGTATATATTTATTGGAATATCAAAAGCAGATACCCACAGACCAGTTAAGTAAGCTGAAGGTATCTTGTAACAATAGTCCGAGATGTCTAGGGGCTAGCCCCACTGACGTGATCAGGTAGGTAGGAAGTTAGTAAACGAAAAGTTGCTGATTAAAAATTTTTGAATTGTTATACTGAAAATGTTAGTGACCTTTTCAGCATATTATTAGTATATATGCACATTATATATTGTAACCAATAGGTTGAATGGTCGGTTTTTCCATAGTTCACAACTAAAGTGGAGAAGGTAGGGCCTTACAGAAGACAGAGTTGAAAAACACCCCGAGATAAACCAAAAATTGTGGGGGGGGGGGAATTGTTGTGACAAACCAACCCACCATGACATTGTCCTGGAGAAGAAAATAGAAACTGAGGATGTAGGACTGAGTTGTCTTGTGAGGAGGCAAGAAGCAGCCATATGTCTAGAGAATGGTGGAAATGAAGACCCCTGGAATGAATTAGGTGGGAAAAAAAAAGGGATCCTGAGAAGGTGAGGGGAAATGTGATTGTGAGACAACGGGAGAGAATAGAAGTAGAAGACCAGACTTACTGAAACGACTTTCAGAACTTAAAGATCGACCACCAAGAACCTCCAAACATGGGCAAAGTGAAGAAGTCTGGTCCTCACCAGCCCTAACCTGAGAAGGGTGGTCAGAATAAGACAATTACTGGGAAATATAATCGGATAATTAGGGTCTGATCCCCACTGAGTTGTGAGCCCCAATAAGGGAAGTTAGAACGATGATAATCAAAAACATGATCATCCACAGTACGTGAGGGTCGAGGCATACCGACACCTGAATGCAAATGCTCCCCAAAACAACTATCAAGAACCCCAATATCCAGGGAAGGAGAAAAGACTAAAATAATGACCCAAAGGCTAGTCCCCGAGAAGAGTAGGTGTGGAACATAGGAACGGGAGATAACGACAGAACATAACATACCTGAATAATCAAATCCACCAAAGGGGAAAAAAAAGAGGTCTGGGCAAGTCTCCCCAAAACAACACGCGGTTGAGAGTCATATTCAGGAAGGGGAAAAAAGCTGTCCAAATCCAAAACTTCCTGATCACTGAAAACCGTGATACGGCAATCAACAGTATGTTTTGTTTCTTGCATGAAGTTGGTCAACTCCCGACGGACCAGAACCTTCACATCATAAGCCGAGAATCTTGGTTCCGACCCATTGGACGTGGTCAGTAATTCCACTGAAGCAATTGAAGAAGTGGTTGACAGCTGCAAGACTAGAGAGGGCGATAGTTACGGTAGGGGCATTGTCGCACTCCTACTGGTGGAAGGTTGCTGCATAATCATTCGCATGTTAGTATGCAAAAATAAGTATGAATATCAAGGCTAGTAGCATGCGAAATTCTGCGCCGATAGGGGGCAGTATACGTCGAGAAAGCTTTTTGTTTGTTTGTTTGTAATTAAGCACAAAGCTACACAATGGGCTATCTGTGCTCTGCCCACCACGGGTATCGAAACCCTGTTTTTAGTGTTGTAAATCCGAAGACAAAAGCTTTTGGAGGTAAGATATTGTATCGGAAATTGGCCTGGTATGTCTTAGGCCTAGATTACTGGTCTAATGACGACATTGAAGAGTACCCAATGAAACTCGTATACAATGGGAAATGATACTTACAAAAAATCTTATCGCAGACAATAGGACACATATCCCAAAAATTACAAAGTTGATTAAAAGAAAAAATCAAACTGAAGATAATTAGAATCAAAGTTCTAACTGAAATGTTTAAAATTTATCTTTCTGTCTCATAATTAAGAAAGTTAAAGAAAGACAGACGACACTATGAATGATAATGAAAGTGCAAAAATTCCATTAATTCCTAAGAAGAGAACGCGTTTCACCAAAGCAGTGTCGACAAGGATAGAATTAACCTGTATTTAAATGCTAATATTCCCGAGAAATACTGTGCATGGAGAATGCGTTACTCTCCTATTGGCAGGGGATTATAGTCCAATCATGATTGCATCATAGGCTGGCGCTATTTCCGTGGAAAGGCGGGAGTTTCATTCAAGGATTGTGGCACGTGCAAATATTTTCATGGCAATGGCGCGAGGTAATATCTGTTTGTTGAGAACAATGTGAGTAAACGTTTTTGAGTCTCTTTACAAATAAAAAAATATATGTACCAAATTTCAATTCTTCATGTAATTATAAACAATAGAAAACCTACACGTTTATTTTCCTGTTACTCTAAAACATTTTTTACTCTTTCATTTATTTTCTTGACTTATGTTCCACATCAAGTTTTATTTCAAATGTATACACTCCATATTTCTCATCTTATTCAATGAACCATTCTATTTTAGCTCTTGCTAATCCTGAGCATATCACAAAAATAGCTTAGTTTATTACCACATCATTTGATACAAAATAAATCGTATACTTTAAAGTACGTTGTGTCTGAGTTCTAACCTTTTCAAAAGTAGAAATAACACATTAAACAATTTAGCAAAGTACTTTATAGTTTTAGTACCAATGCAAGACATCTTTCTATGAGTAACCTTTTGTTAATAAAGAAATTCCTAGGATAACTTACACTCCTAATATTTCATATAAATGTATGATGCACGACTTTGTAAAAATGGTTAAAACATTTTAGCATAGTTCCAGATAAGTGATAACAAATACTACATACATGTACCACAGGTTGACCATTTGGAAGTGATTGGGCTCTAGTCATCTTTGTTGGTGACAAGTCTAACAAACCAGGAACCCCATCCACAGAATTTTCTCCTTCCCCCCAAAATGAAGATCTCTCTATAGGTGGTTCAGAGGCACTTTTCTCAATGTGAGGATAATGGGACGGCTTAAATACAGAATTTTTTGATTTGTGTAGTTTTCTGCAAGGTTCTCGAGATGCTGAGACACGGTTGAAAGCTTGTATGTTTTTAGAACTTGATGAAGTAACAACAGCTGACCCAGTATCATCCACAGAGTCTGAAAGAGCAGAGACTTGACTTTGAGCTGCTAGTTCTTCCTCTTCCTCTCCATCAGAGTCAAAAGGGTTCATTAATTGTTTACGAGTCATCAACTTAGGTTTCTCTTGAGGAAAAGTCATTTTTTCCTCCTTTCTACTGGATTGAGATTTGTCTTTAGATGAGCCATCTTTCGACACATGAATGATCTTATGAAGATTTAAGAAGTCATTGCTCTTGAGTTTGACTAAGCCAGATTTTTTTTCTTCTAGTCCTTTATCTTGCTGTGAGGAGAAATGACCTGAAGGTTTTGATACTAGTTTCGGAAAATTCTGACTAGACTTAACTTGTTTTGTCTCAACTGTATGGTGAGCTTTAGTAAACTGTTTGGAAGTTTCAAGACTGGAATCTGTTGTTGCACTCTGTGGACTAGATAGGGAACTTCCAGAAGATTCTGGCACTGTAGGAGTGACAAACTGGAGTAATGCTAAACTATCTTCATCACTGTCAGGTTCCCTAATTGTATATGTAGAATCAGTGACTGTTTGACCTATCTGTTGAACTTTAACTTCGAGGCCAGTGAAGTGAGCACGAAGTTGATACAGATAGGTCATTACAGCAAGTTTGTCTGGGATGGCCAGTATCACCATATCAGAAGGTTCAATAAGTCTGGGAATACCCAAGCCAAAAGCAGCATCAAAGGCCTTAAAGTGGAAAATAAGATATACTTTAAAAACTTATCTTAATCTATAATTGTCAATACTATCACAGAAGGAAATAAATGACCAACAAGGCAAAAAAAGTCATAATTCCTAAAGGATATAAAATTTTGTATTTAGTGTTAAGAAAATAATTTTAATACGTCATTATCTTTTCTCTATAAAAAGTGTTTTATATTCAGGTAAGATGAGCAATTAATACCAGAACTGTACAAATTGGATTCAATGACATAATTATTGTATTTTTTACAAGCTTTACATACAATTAATGTTTTTCATTATAATGAAACATCCTATCCTTTGCGTATATAATGATACAACATAACTGGAAACACACTGCTCCGTCAGCTCTCCATCATTTCTTAGTTTTTAATATGATATATTTTCTTATCTAAAAATATTTCTATTTTTATTTAAGCATTTTATTTTGATTTTATCACAGTATAAAAATAAAACCACAAAACAAAATTATCCTCACTTTACTCTGGTGTCTTCAATCGGAATAATAGTTCAAGGCAGTTAAAACAGATGGCGCGGCAATAAGCACCTAGTAAAGAAAAAACGCACCTTTTTACAATTTCCTTTGATATCATGCGGTGAAAGAGCAGAAACATCGATCAGGTCAGGCCGAAAATGGTGTATGACTGCACAAAAAGCCATGCCATTCCTCCAAGAAGTTGTCATATTGGTTATTTTAACTCCTCGGTATCCTTTCGTTACTTCTTTACACCATGTTAACAAATCCTCGTTAGGTATCATTGCAGTGAATTCAGAGGTTTCTGAAGCAGAATCACGTTCAGGGCTTTCAGAAACGCTTCTACAGGAGGCGTCTTTTACAACTTCTGTACTGTCTCTACAAAATTAATCATTGGGTTATTTATCTAGCTTTAAATTTGAATTCAAATCTTACTTTAAATTATCTATTATAATAAAACTCAATTTTTGTCTGTCCTTGAAAAGGTGTGCCGACCTTACTATCTAAATGCGCATGCAATGCATTTCAACGGATGGAAACAAAAAGCAGATGTAAATATACTTTATTAGACATTTTTTACAACATGTTAAAAATTTATCAAAGTTTTAAAAACGCCTAACATTAGGTCGTATAATAACATTACAAGTTTATTGACAGTAATTAAGTACGATAAAGTTTAGCTATAACTAAACTAAAATAAGCAAAAGGGTATCCTCAATAACCACGAAACTTGAAATTATTTTAGGCAGGATTAGAGTAAATTAATCTTTGAGACCTTGGGCGTAGTCAAGTACATCAATCGAAAGGGTTTGACCTCCCGAGTCCAAAACTGTATCTAGATCTCAAATCGGCTAAGAGATGACAAAGTTATGAGCTAAAAGTTTATACTTGAAAAACTCATAACCATTCTATGAGCCACTATGCCGCGGCTAAAAACGTACACAAGTTACGATGTTAATTTATCCCTTTATCGAATATAGGCCGTACTTAATAAAAGCTCAACTAATGTTAGGCCTAAGACAAGTGGACTTACAGATTTCGGTGTGTGCGATTAGAATTTTTTGTATTATTCTAGAAATCCTGTATTTAAAAAGCACTGATGCAATACTAATTCAACGGCAAATGCTTTGCGAGTCTCTGCTAGTATTTAATATGAAACACATTCTTATGACATGAAAGGAAGTAATGAAAACGGTCACAAGGTGGTGTTTGCATTTAGTGACATTAGAAAATAGGTTGTTTGTCGTTAGTTTGTAGCACAAAGCTAAACAGAATAGGTTATCTACCTGGTCGACCAAAGTGCATCAAAACACGAATTTTAGCGTTGTAAGTCCGTAAACCTACCGCTTGGTTCACTGGGGGACTGTAAGGAAAGAAATGAAAATACATAGCGAAGCATAAATTTCAACAGTATGAGGAATCGGTGCTGATTATACTGATCTTGTATAATCGATGACTCAACAACATGAAGTCATCATACATCATAAATCACTAATCCCACAATATAAAACCCGTGGAAAGAAACCAAATAGGACTTCAGGCAAATCTACACTAGTAAAAAAAAAAAAAATCACTAAAACAACAGGTAAAACTAGTTTTGTTAGTGAAAACCCGGATCGGATTATGAAAGTCGTGAAAAGTGACTAGAAGGAAGTTAAAAACCTGGAGCGGATTGTGAAAGCCGTGAAAGGTGACTAATAGAAAGTCAAAATCCTGGAGCGGATTGTGAAAGTCACTTGGTAACATTATACGACGAATGTTCTAGTTTTTATTAATTTCATTTCTCGTTTAACAAGACCGAATTATAAATGTTCATACCATTTATCATCTAAACAAAAATAAGAAAACTATTACCAGTCGGTGTCTAGCCAACTTAGAGATTAGTATCGGGAGTTTTGTCAAAAAAATGTCCATAACACATAACAGAAATAATGCCAGATTTTACAATTACACGTTCAAGAATAATGCACTGAAGGTATTCACAGTAACGAAATTTAAAATTTTATCAAAACTTCGGTTTTTAAGAAACAGTACAGTGATTCATGTTACTGATTTTGTTGCTAATATTGTTTTAAAATTTTTATGTGCTGAAATTTATGTGCCAATTACGTATGAAAAAGGGACAAAACTTTGTTTGGTAAACTACTTCACACACACACACACACACATATCCCATGTTTTGTTTGGTTGAATTTCGCAAAAAGTTACCCAATGATTATCTGCGCTAGCTGTCCTAATTTGGGACTGACAGACATAGAGTAGAGTAGAGGTAATGCAGCTAGTAAAAAAAAAAAAACGACTGCCATTGTTTTTTTGTTAACGGGACGTGAACATGGGGAGCCGCAAAAATAGGTGTCATCAAAACATTCGAGAAATTAAAAGACATACTACAAACATTTCAACAGAACAAAACCTCACGACGTGGCACACTATTTAGGTGCCAAGTCGCGGATTGTTTATTGTTTATAATTGTTTATAATTTATAATTGTTTTTAATTATGCACAAAGCTACACAAGGGCTATCTGTGCTCTGCCCACCACGGGTATCGAAACCCGGTTTCTAGCGTTGTAAGTCCACAGACATACCGCTGTGCCACTGGGGGGGCGCCAAGTCGCGGATCGAAAGATCAAAGGTTTGAGCTTGCGATACCCCGTTGAACATGCTATGTACTTTGAGCTGTGCGCATATTATGAAAGTAACAGTCAATCCTGTTATTCGGTAAAAAGTAGCCTGCCATCTAAGCGACGAGTGCTACTGACTGATTGCATTCTCTTTGCTCATCAGTTCCAGATGAGGGATGGCTAAACCTAAAATGAACCCAGAGGGTCTCTGAGTTGCCCGTTTAGCCCATGTGACGACGAGGTTGAAAATCTATTGTGACGTTGGATATGCATTATTGGGATTGTAATAATTTGCACGTTTTAACATTTCGATAGTGTTAGTGCATCGTCACTATGTTACAGTTTACATATCATAGACTCGGTTGTTACAGTATTTGGCTCGAATGGTTAAAATGTCTAGTTTCCATTGCAACGACATGTAACCGTCGTCACAAAAACTTGAGGTTAAAATGCAGCAAGAAATACACGTCATCATACACACAATTAGTCGGTGTCACGAAATGTAAACGTTCATACGTGTAATATATTTTAAACAAGGCATCACAAGCGTCTTTTTCAATTTGAAACAAAATATTTATTTTTAATATAATAAACTTTGAAGTTGCGAAGTTTGCTAATACCTCTGAACATACTTATAAGAAATGTATTTTATTTTATCAAATTACAAATTGGTAAACAGACTTAGGACTATCTTTTAGTTCGTTGACGTGACCAGTTGCACTGAAAGACGAAAAACTCAGAATTAAATCAGCATTTCACACTCCTTCCCTCGGTTTGATAACGGAAAATCTCGAGGATGGTAATTTCTTGAACTGGAATGGTTTTGTAAGAACACCAAAATTGGTAGTTTCATGATTAACTAAAACTGTACCGTGTAAGCTTTCTTTTCTGTGCTGGTCACTGATTTACTATGACATGTTCAAGCTCGTTTTTCGGAAAACACAATTTAATTATAAAAAACAACAGGAACGTATTTATATGGAGCATCTAAAAGACGTTTTGGAATCTTCAGAATTCTATCTTGAGTAAGCAAAAGATACAAAAATACACAATGGTAATTACACCAAGAATATGATATAATCTATACTATTTACTGTCGTTAGTTACAAAGTATATTATATTATTGATGTATTTGTTTTTGTTTTTAATTATGCACAAAGCTACACAATGGGCTATCTGTGCTCTGCCCACCACGGGTATCAAAACCCGGTTTCTAGCGTTGTAAGTCCGCGGACATACCGCTGTGCCACTGGGGGCATTCTTGATGTAACTACCATTGTGTATTTTTGTATCTTTAGCTTAAGGAAGATGGAATTTAGAAACGTATGTTACATGCTCCATATAATTACGTTCGTATTATTCTTTATAATTAATTGCTAAACCTTGTTTGGGATATTAAACTACTTAAGACTAAAATATAACCTTATAATTAATGATACTGCTAATCACATCAAAGTTTTCCCCCTTAAAACCTTACACTTAAAAGAGATTTGACCGGTAAATGTGTATCATTCTATTCTGATGCTGAAGTAGTTGAGAACATAAAAATGTTACAGAGTTTTGTCACAAAATCAAAGTACTAGACAAGAACCGATATCACGCTGGAAATGATCTAGAATTAATGATCACACTCTGACTAAGTGGGTTTTAAGGAAAGGTGCGATTATTAGCCACGCACGATAACGTACTGCTACTGACACCAGGATAACTGCCAATCAACACAGTAGTCTTCACTCTGACTCAGCACCCTACGTCTAGTCTAGTACAACTCACGGTTGTTAGTGCCATTAGAAGGGAACTAATTTTCTTCTAGGCGGAACTCTTCATCTCAGCCAGCGCCCTCTGGGCAGTTGAGTCAGATAATAATGACTTCCTATAGTGGTTCCTTCTTCTGACCCGAGGAATTACAATTGGTTGATGGCTTTTTGCTCCCAGACGGAAGCTACCAATCTTTCTCTGAAGTGAAAATAATTACTATATTAATTGGAGCACGTACACAATCGGGCCACATGTTTAGCGGGTATCCTTCACGTCGTTCCATCTACAAATGTTACAGTCAATATATTAACGACTTCTCTCAGATATATAGAGATTGCGTATTTCAAATATCGACAACGTTCTATTTTCAGCATATTTTAGAGTCACTTTATTTCAACAACTTCTAAGGACAGCTGAAACTGGATATTCCAAATGTTAAGAAAGTCTCATTTTATCTACAATTTTCACAGTCAATATTTGAGGAGCTTTCCCAGAAATACTGAAAAGTTCTGTGCGTGTTTAAAGTTACATGCAATTCTTACAGTTTTCAGTTTTTCTTCGCCTGCTTATTCTGTCGCAAGCCTTACCAAAATGAAGGGGGGGGGGACGTGATTCGTGCACGCAGTAAAAGTAAAAAGAATGATTAAAATAAAATTATTTTTATCACGATAACTGATATAGTGACGATGCATTAGACAGAAAGATTCCGAATCAAGAAATGCTGAAATGCATAAAACAAACTACAAATATTTATATTCAGAACTTCGTTAATAGTAGTATTCGTAACACACATGCGCACACTTTAAAAGTGGCAAGATGTAAGATATGTAGCTGAAGAAAATTAACTACTTTTTAGTCCTGTAGTACTTTTTAGTACAGTAAATATAAAAACAACAAGAGTTTGGGATCACGCCTTATCAACATAATAATCTCTTCCCGTGTTTAACAAGCAATAGACATCTCATACTCAGTGATATTTCCTGGATACCTATTTCAAA